AATTAACGTTAATTGTTGAATAAAGCTATTTAACAATTTGTATGTTTCGTGAAAACATTACCTATTTGTGCTGACTATGATGGAACATATTGCAAACATATTCTTACCATATTTTCGTTTTTAGTTGTCTGTAACTAGGTGCACTCAGATATTTATGATTTGTTATAATATTTGTTATATATATTAGATTTATACCCTCAATCACTACAAAATTTAAATAAGTTAATTCTAACATTACATCTTCCTTATATCAACAGACATTAACAACCGTACGTACAAAAGACGAAAACGGCTGTACTAGCAATACACATTACATCGTAAATACACAAGTATCGGTAATAAAAAGAGTTCTCATGTTGTCTGTAAGAAAAATCATGTCCTGAATTTTAACGGGTAAAACGGCTAAAAGAGAGAAATCAATCAAAATCAAATTTGTAAAAATCATCCAGTAGTTTCTGCTTATATGGCATTTCCTCCTGAAAACAACAAAGAAACGATTTCCAGAAACATAGTGTAAAGACTGTTTAGCTTAATAGTTATTATTTGGTTTATTTAGTGATTTAATATTTCATAAATGTTTTGTTTGCATAGCAGGAGTGTCAAGAGTTAAATATTTTAAAAGTAATAGTTATGACAAATTTCGTTATGTATCTCAGTAAAAGTCGTACGTTGTGTGTGTAGTTTTTCTCGCTATGTGAGTATTGTTACATCATAGCGTATCCTAGTTTGTAGAAAGTTGGAGGCCTGAGTTGGATAAGGTATATATATAGGTCACCAAATGAGTGCAAATCAAGTGAAGTTCAGTTAGAAAAAAGTTAGTGATAGAAAACGTGAAGTTAGCCGGCGTATGAGTGATTAGCCTTAACGTATGATTTTTATAGTGCGTTTCACAGCTGTATTGTAACAACAGAAATAGGAAAAATAGTATGTCTTATCAATTGAGTTCTAAAGGAACAATATTTAATGAGGAGCTGAGTCTAATGAGTGAATATGGCTATATCATGGACCTGCATCATGTAAGTAACGAAGATCTGAGTCTAATGAATGAATATAGCCATATCATGTAAGTAACGAGGAGCTGAGTCTAATTAGTGAATATGGCTATATCATGGACATGCATCATGTAAGTAACGTGTGTCTGAGCCTATTGAGTATTCAATATGGCTATATCATGGACCTGCATCAAGTAAGTAACATGTGTCTGAGTCTATTGAGCATTCAATATGGCTATGGCATGGACCTGCATCATGTAAGTAATGAAGATCTGAGTCTAATGAGTAAATATGGCTATGGCATGTTTCGTACTTATCTTGGGAACAAAGAAGATCGTTCTTGATGAGGTCAAGCACAAGTGGTTGAGGACTAAAATGTATGATTCACAAGAAAGGCTGTGGATTACGTAGTTGTTACTTTGTGAAACATATCATTGAGGAAACTGTTGTAGATGCATAATTTGGAAGAAAAAGATCTTCTGCTAAACACCAACGATGTCCTTTCCACAGAACAGATATTGAGTGATTGCTGTAACAAAGCAAAGCTCTTCATGGGAGTTTTGAATGAAGCCTTTGTTCAACCAATGTATTTTGGAGAGAAGATGGTTTAGCACTATGAATGATAGGTATTACCTGTTATTGTGTGATGGTTTTATGCTGGACAGAAAAAGAAGAGGCTGTGCCACAAAAATTTTACTTTAACCATCTCTTGGATAAAGACATCAAGAAAGATCGAGAGTCTGTGTTCAAATTGCTACTGGAACATTCTTCTTCCCGTGGTTATATATATGCTATTTTATGGTCATTGTATTGAGATCATAAGATTACACACAAACAGTAGGTTGGAAAATCAGTGCTAGCTGCTTATTTTGCAAGATTAATGGAGGCCTTTAAGTTTTGCTGAAAGATGTAATAACTCTGTCTCACTAATGCAGGAAGTTGTTGACCTTAAATTCGTGTTAAACTAAATTGTGAAACTTGTTGAACATGATAGACAAGAGTTTTTGTAACGAGCATCGAAAATGTGGAAACACAGCTCAAGGAAGTTTTCTAGACAGGTAATGATGTATTCTTCCTGTCTGCTACGCCTATTGAAAACTCTCAGTACTTTCTGGGAATGTATCATTCTCTTACTCTCCTAATTTTTCCATGAAGGTTTTCAATTACTTTGGAGTGGGTAATGGCATGCTTGCTCATATAAAGCATTTTACAGGTAAATGCTTTTTGAGGCAGGGTGTATTGAAGATGAAACTGAGAACTGCTCTAATGAGAAGAAGAAGAATAGAAAATACTAGGCGAAACATAGGCCAAAATATTGAGATGGAAGAAATACAAGATAAGGATGAAGTAAACGGTAATGACTCATCAGACAATGAATAAGATGTTGAAGAAGAAACCATCAATCCCTAAACGGCAGCAGGTCGAATATCAGGTGTGGCATTAACAACTCAAGAACAAATGAGGAAACAGTCCCATTGTCATATTTATCACACTGACATAATAAGTTTCTTTGTGTAAGATGACTGCGGACTAACACTCTAGAAAACCTTTACACTGTAGGAGCTCTTACAAAGCAACATGTCAAGAGAAATTTACTGAAGATTGACAAAGAATAACCAGGGTTACTTGAGCGAAAATTATTTACAGAAAAGGGAATGAACTGAAAAAATATGAAGATGATAATGAAAATAAACGAGCTGCAGGACATTGAAAATAGTGATGGTGATAAATAACAGGCTACAAAATAAAGAACAAATTACCAGGTACAATGCAGAACAATAAAACTGATGACGATGAAGAAGAACGCTGTAGATTATCGAAGGAGAAGAAGAAATGAGGATACAAGAGAATGCGTTATGCAGAATGACTTCTTAATAAAGCTGTTTTCATTGTGAATTCGTCGTGAGCTAAAAAGCTAAAGCTTAAGTTGAGCAGTTACAGAGACGATCATTATTGACCAGACAGCTCTGACAACGGTTGTGAAAGTAGTTAACTCGCTACATCACTAAAACTACAATAGTTATCGAAAACAGAGACATCAAAAGACTCTACAGATCTCCACAGTTTATTCCAAGTTTTGAAATTCCAGATCTTGTGTTTACCGTCCTTTGTTACCATAAATGTCACAACTGATCCGATTTAATCTGATATTTGTTATTCAAATATGATTCTTACATAACTTGTGACAACAGTCTGCTTCACTAGTAGACTTTTTTCTCTAATCTAATGCATGATAAGAATGTAAGACTTAGGATGTATGCGCTAGGCTTGTTGAAGACTTTGGGACGCTCTGGATAACTGAAAAGCGGCATATACACCGTAGATAGAGCGACTATGCTAGATATCTCTTCACATCTAGCTTTTGATGACCTGTATGTGGATTGATTTTTTTTTACTCCTTCACTTCATACATAATATACTTGTGTACTTGAGAATGATCGAAACGTCGATCAGTGGTCGAAACGTCGTAGCTGTTCTAAAAACAATTCTCACTTATTGTAAAGGATGTAAGTTGTAATAAAATAAAAATAAATAAACATAACAAGGATCGTAACTGCCTTAGTTTGCCTCACGATGTCACATGATATAAAGCTCAAAATTTTAAATATGAACTTGAAATATTTATTTACAGAAAAGGCAACTATTTTTACGAACCTAAAACTAAGTACAAGTTTTATCATCAGAAATCTGTAAATATGTTAGTTAATTTACTTTTAGTGAGAATTTTGCTTGATCTTAAAGCAAGAATTCATGATTAAGGTTGTAAGTGATCTATAGAAAATAACAATTTTAATCTGCAATTTTATTAAAAAAATATTAATATACATTCATTTTTACGTTTAATAAAGAATTGTTACTCTTAGAAAAACTCTAATAAACAACTACAGTCCTGAACAATCATTCTTTCGTAAAATAATTACACGTTGATGTTCCAATGACACGAACATTCTTCAATACTAATAGCTTGAACATAGTCCTAACCAAGAAGAACTGTTTTAGTTGTCATTTGATAATATCAATCAAAAAATCAATGAAACATCCACATATAACATAACGAAACAGGATCTACAGATATTGCAACTTCAGCGATAAATCGTAAAGAGAAGTTTGACAAAAACTTATATGTAGTTCTCTCTTTTTTGATTTATTAATCACCATCTCACTTCCAGCTTTTATTTCGTAAGTCAGTTTCTTTGAAGTCACCGCAGAAACAATGACTGCCGATCACACAAGTGCAGCTCGTACAGCTCGCTTACGTTAAGAAAAGCAAGGGATCATGGGTACTGACAAGTCGATTTTTACTGGAAACTTTTGCTGCTCTACCATTAATGCAGTGCCTCACATAGATAGAGAATGAATATCACGCTTTCTACAGAAAATATCTGGTTAGATACAGAGGAACATTCTTCATCACATTGTTGTGAAAATGGCTCCGATGTTGTGAGCCCTCTACATAAAACGATGAAAAATATTAGAGTTACTTCGCTCTGTGTTCTCGTCATTCTGGGGGTTCTCGGGAATAGCTTGATGCTGGGTTGGCTGTGGACACATCGTAAACGAAGAGTTCGTATCGTCCAACTATTTGGTCATCTTGCAATAGCAGATGTTCTGGTGACTCTGTCTGGAACTCTTCCACTTCTGATTTTGGAATACATGGGTCCAGGATGGCCTGCGGGAGAAGCCTTCTGCAAAATCTTTAACTTTCTTCTGGGATTTGGTTCTTGTGCAAGTAATTATATGATGGTGCCTATTGCATTCGATCGGTTTAGAGCTGTGAAACGGCCGTTAGCACTTCGACTGAAGGTAGATATTAATTTAATTAATCATTCCTTACACCAAATAAATAGAAATCTCGTACGAGAGTATATTTTATGCAATAACCATAGTTCAGAGCTTATTCATTTGCTTAATGTAATGCAATTTTTACGATATCCTTTAGAATTATAGAATATAGGACAAAATAAAAAGCTGATAATGTTTTTAGAGCTTCTGGTACTACAGTTGATCTGCACTAATAATACGATCATTCATAACACTTCAAGACATCGAATATAACAAGTGGAAATATTTCATGTGTTTCTTACATACTTTCATAATATGATTTTATCTCGGCTACCAAATCCAGCTTAAAACGGAGTTATTACATTTGTATCTGAAACATTAAGATATTTTATAAAAAAAACAAGCAAGGAACAGTGAAACATTATAAATGCCGTCTATCCTGGTGGACGTTAAAACTAAATGTTACTGTCATGAAAACCTTTCTTGACTTGGAAGAGTTATCTTTTATAGTTTTCCAATTGTTTTTACATTATCAACAGAGAAGATTTTTACACTTTATTGTGTAATTTGTAGTTGTAAACAAGTAATATTAAGTTTGTATTTATGTCGCCTGTAAATCTTGATTATTTTGGTTCTTTTGTAAATAGTTAATGGACACTGTTGTTAAAACGTTTCATTTTTAGTTGTTTTGTTTGTTTTAGCGCAATGATACGCAATGGGATATATGCTAATTTGTCCAGCGCTGGAAGTAGGAACCAGGAGTTTAACGTTTTATGTCCGTAAACTCACCGCTGACCTACAGGGGTACCATTCTTAGTTTGAATACTGGATTTATTTGAACAACTGAAACAAGTCTTTAAACATTAATTGGGTTCAAGGCGCACATTGAAAGAGAGATCAATGTTGACTCATTTCATGGCAGATATACTATGAGCTGAAAAAAGAAGATAGAGGAAACATATTTGGAACGTCTATCTTTACCATTCTAACAAATATACTACTAAAGTCTGGAGACGGCTTGAATGGGTGTTGAAAGACACTTTATTACAACTGTACAAAGTTTCGACATGTTTATGTCATCATCAGACATCTCCAGACTTTATTTCCTAAAAAGTGGGTTCCTCCTCATCAAATATACTGCTAAAAGTAAGAAAATATAGCTAGGAAAGGTATTACCACGTACAAATGTTCTCTTATGTCACAATTCACAGAAAAACAGTTTATCTGAAAATGATAAGTATACGAAGGCGAAATAAATCATGTAATTAACATATTACACAGTAATGGTTATCCTCTTTGTTACACGAACTAGAAGGCACATGCTGTCTCGAAATGTCCACTAGTTCTTATCACTTGTTTCCATGGGCAAAACAAAGTTTTAAGCGTTATCCTCTTTGTTACACGAACTAGAAGGCACATGCTGTCTCGAAATGTCCACTAGTTCTTATCACTTGTTTCCATAGGGAAAACAAAGTTTTAAGCGTTATCCTCTTTGTTACACGAACTAGAAGGCACATGCTGTCTCGAAATGTCCACTAGTTCTTATCACTTGTTTCCATGGGCAAAACAAAGTTTTAAGCTGAAATCCAAAATCAAAAAAAATAACCAAGACATATTACTCGCAAATAAAATGACGTTTAGTACTTAAGTCAACATTTAGAATTCAAAACTTGTTTAAAACCAAAGAAATATTCCAATGCACTCTTGTGTTGTTTATAAATACAGTTGTGATAACTGTAAAGCTACCACCTATATTGGTAAAACTACACGTAATCTACAAACACGCGCACACGAGCACATGGTAATTTCAGCTAGAAGCAGGTATAAGTTAAATAATCCACGTGTGTCTTGTATCCGGTTGCATAGTGAGAATAACAACCACCACATAATACTTCTAGAAAACTTTCAAATTCTCGATTCTGGACCACGGATTACCAACTCTTTATCAAAGAAAGCCTCCCCATTTTCAATATGATCCCCCAACAATAAACAATAACATCTACTTGTTTTTGTTGTCATTATTCCAATCATTTTTATTTGTTTTATAATGTTTCATCTTAACAATATTATTAAAATTACGTCTGCCGCACTTTTTATCGAACATCCCATTATATTGCTACTGTTTCAATCTGAGTTCTTTCTAAATATTTGGTTGTGTCAGAAACTCCTTGCTTAATGCCTATTGTATTTTTGTAGTTAGAATGTTGTGAATTAACTTTTTGAAGTAGGATGCCCATGATTGAATTTGAAACAATTCCGAAACGTTCATAATTAAAGACATTTTTGGTACTACCGCATTTCTAATATTTATTTTAAAACTTCATCTTCTCCCTGATGAATCAGTTGAAAATCAATATATATTCATCTCGATCAATGTTAAATTGTGCTTATGTCAAATATTTACACTTTAAAAACCAATATCAACTCGGAAAAAATACTAAACTTATCATAAATATCCACACAGATCTTGAAATATTTAAAAAACTTATTAAGTGAACATTTTAAACTACTGTTTAAGGAAACAGAATTAGTTTGTGATATCTTGATTGATAAAAGACGTAGAGTAGTGTACTTCTTATATAAGCTATAGACGTAAAATATGCTTTCTGATTAACAGTTGTCGTTCATATTCCAAAAGAAACATGTTATAATACAAAAGTTATAAATATATCAGTAATTTTTGGGATTCTTTAGGAATATCTGGATATTTTCAGATCTAATGTGCTTTAGAGAAACGATAGTCTTATAAAATATTAGCTTGAAAATAATTCCTAAAAACAGTAAACAAACAATTTAAATAAAGTAAAAACAGCTAAAAATGGAATATAAAATTATTACATAGAGTAAATTGACGTTTTATCAGCGTTAACCTGGCATCATGAGTTAATCATATCTTTTTCTGTTGGATGGTTTGGCTGAACAACCCATACGAGTTTCAATTTAGATTCTTTAGGTTTATAAATCCTAACAAAACCAGTTATGTTCGGAACACGCCTTATATCATGATGGTGTTAACCTGGCATCATGAGTTAATCATATCTTTTTCTGTTGGATGGTTTGGCTGAACAACCCATACGAGTTTCAATTTAGATTCTTTAGGTTTATAAATCCTAATAAAACCAGTTATGTTCGGAACACGCCTTATATCATGATGGTGTTCCATATATCTGAGCAACAATTGAGTGGTTATTCTTCAAATATCCTGGCTTTAGGACAATAAGTACAACTTCCTGTGGCGCTCATGTATGTCCTTCCACCCAGAGTAAACGTACCAGAGTGTTCATTTGAATATGTGAAGTGGTTATCTTCTACACTAGCATATGCATATGAGCTTGTTCGTCGACAGTTTGGTAAAATGATTGTACATTGAACGCGATGTTACAAATAAAACATTCTTAGAATGACGTTTGAGTTTAATGAGTGAATATGGCTATGGCATGGACCTGCGTCATGTAAGTAACATGTGTCTGGGTCTATTGAGTATTCAATATGGCTATGGCATGGACCTGCATCATGTAAGTAATGAAGATTCGAGCCTAATGAGTGAATATGGCTATATCATGGACCTGCATCATGTAAATAACGAAGATCTGAGTCTAATGAGTGAATATGGCTATATCATGTGCCTGCGTCATGTAAGTAACGAGTATCCGAGTCTAATGAGTGAATATGGTTGTGGCATGGGCCTGCATCATGTAAGTAATGAAGATCTGAGTCTAATGAGTGAATATGGCTATATCATGGACGTGCATCATGTAAGTAATGAAGATCCGAGCCTAATGAGTGAATATGGCTGTGGCATGGACCTGCATCATGTAAGTAACGAGTATCTGAGCCTAATGAGTGAATATGGCTATATCATGGACCTGCATCATGTAAGTAACGAGTATCGAGCCTAATGAGTGAATATGGCTATATCATGGACGTGCATCATGTAAGTAACGAGTATCTGAGTCTAATGAGTGAATATGGCTATGGCATGGGCCTGCATCATGTAAGTAACGAAGATCTGAGTCTAATGAGTGAATATGGCTATATTATGGACCTGCATCATGTAAGTAACATGTGTCTGGGTCTATTGAGTATTCAATATGGCTATGGCATGGCCCTGCATCATGTAAGTAATGAAGATCTGAGTCTAATGAGTGAATATGGCTGTGGCATGGACCTGCATCATGTAAATAACGAGGATTTACTAAAGTGATCTATATCTTGAATGTCCACAGCTCAGCAATGACATTTATGGGTTTGTGATGGTTGTTTGCTGGGTACAAGTGGATTGTACGAATCGTAAAGCTGAAGCCTTTTGTGACTGAAGACATAGAATCTAATAAATACATCTTCCAATGACTACAAATGGCTTAGGAGGAAGTTGTTTTAAATATACAGGGCAAAGTACTGTATTTCTGTTAACCTTTAAACAAAGTAAAAAACAACAACAACAACCTCAGTATCACACAAAAAATGAAATTGTACAGGATGGTGCGTGCAAAAAAACAATTAACAATAATTAACAAATATTCTCTTAAACAAAGACTTCTACAACAAGGGAAGATGTTCCATAACAGTTGTAATAATCACGAGGATAATACTTAAGACAATATATTTTTCTAATACATTACCTTATGAACCTTGTTCAAATTTAAGCAGACATTTTGAAACTCGCATCTATCATATAATATTAATTTGAGGCCTTATTCTTTAACAATATTTCCTCAGAACTATTAAATACACGATGAAAACAAAATGACTTGCCCCCCCAGTGGCACAGCGGTATGTCTGCGGACTTACAACGCTAGAAACCGGGTTTCGATACCCGTGGTGGGCAGAGCACAGATAGCCCTTGTGTAGCTTTGTGCCTAATTAAAAACAAACAAACAAACAAAATGACTTATTAGTCAAGATGGGGCATTGGTCAATTCAATGTGAGACAATATTTGAATTTGTGCCAATAAAATAATTACATTAGCACGTTACTCAGGGCTAGATGGTTTTAACTTACAAAAATTCTTGTATGGAAGAAATCTGAAAAGAGCTAATTCATTATTTTTATTTTGAGGATGAAATTTTAAAATCTACGATGTGAAGATAGCAGAAGATATGTGAAAAAGTCATGTGAGCTTCCAGTGTACTGTGACAATTTTGGTGAAATATTTTTGTGAAGG